CAAATTGACTCAATGACATTAAAACGTGTTCACCTAGTGCCGTTTTCGTTTAGTCTTCCGTAGGATTCGAAGTCTAAGATGATGACAAAATGCCTTCACGAAAGTACTTCGGCATAAATGCATTAAGAAATTTATCTCTCTAGGCAAGACTTAAAAATATTGCTACAACAGTACTACAATTCTTAAAAGACACAAAAATATACATTTAATAGGCAAAACAGAGGTTTCTTATGGTGCTTAATAAGTGAAAGTGTAGAATATAAGGTTATTTGATTTTAATTTAATTCGACTTTCTAATCACATAACGTTTTCGTTCGCTTAGAAAATTTTTAATCAAATTCTCAACCAGTTTATCCAAAAACTTTTTTAATACAAATGGTTCGCCGCATTTACATTGAAGATATTTTTAAAACGTGTTTGTGGTTTAGGATAACTTTTATTTTGCATTTTCTTCAAAACAAATTTTTCACATTTCTAATTAACGCGCAAATCTCGGGAGAATTATCTAACAAAAGACAGTAAGACTATAGTAATAAGACAAGAAAACAACAACGCAACGCAAACACCAAAAACAAAAGGAATTTTTATACAGGAGGGTTGTTCAAAGCGACGCGATGATTATTTATACAAAACAAGGCGGGAAATTGACCGGCATAAAACACACACACACAGGCATATAATGTGTATATGTACTAGTATATGGATGGAAGCCGGAGTTGAGCTGTGAAGAAATGAAAATTTTTGAAATCTCGTGTAAAAATAATTACGCCAACAACGACGGCGTCACCGTCGTCAGCCGCCAATTATAAAAGTGACGAATATTGATGTGGACGAGATAATAAAAATGACAAGGGTGTCTAAAGTGATGAGTGTTATTTGTGTTTCAAAAGCAAAAAATTTAAAATAACCATAAGAAAGCGACGCTTAGTGTTACAAAATATGTAATCGCAAGAGTCATAATAATAATGTTAATTTTAATGATAATCATAATGATAATGACGACGAAAAAGTGCGGACCATTTCGTGTGGTCAAACATTTTACAAGGATAATGGTAATGTTGTTGTGAGAGATTTTTTTGGTAGAAAAATCTCAAAAATTTAATATTGAGTTTCGAAATTATCTTCAAGTTGCCATTATTGCGCTTAATTCCATGCGATATGCTGCCGCAGTGGTAATGATTATAATCATTAATAATTATTACGTAGGCAATTACATTTTTTCGATCCAAATCTTCAAACTAATAATTTCATAAAATATTTTGCATAGCGTGTGTCCAACTCTGACGCGCATTCATACAAAATATTTCATTAATTTTAATTGGAAACTGCGGAGGCGGATAATTACAGGGCGGCGCATAAACCAAGCGTTGAGTAAGTCAGGCGTACGGACATACAAGACAGCGCTAGACGCAAGGCGAAGATGAAAGCGGTAGAGCGACGAAGGTGGCACAAACTAACAAAACATTGCCACACTAAATAATGAAGGATGCAAAGGCTTCTCTGCATATTTCAAGGAACTTTGCTGTCTTTTTCTCGTATGCACAGCGCATTCGTACTTAACATAATTTGAAACAAATATTATAAAAAGTATTTACAGGACATTGAAGGTGTGTGAGTGTAGAATAAGAGACTAGGTTTTAATTATTTTTGGCTAAAAAAAAAACCGACATTTCAGTAAAAAAAAAAAATAACCAAAATAAGCTGAAGGTAAATGAAGAAGCAACCTATCTTCTATGTATTTTAAATGAGCCGCGAAATTATCCTGCCTGATGTTGCAACAAAAACAACGAGTCAACAAGGATTTATTTGTCTTTACTTGCAGTTATTGCTTTGCGCAAAATTCTTTTAACATTTTCGAGCGTCTCAAGTAGGATTTCCCTTAATTAGAATACTCTTTGAGCGTAATGGAGCAGTAAATATGTATTTATGACTTTACTGCAATGTCTTTAGACACGAAAAGGAATGGAATTAAAGAATTTTTTCGACTAAGAGAAGATTATGCAAAGTCTTCGGCGAATGAGGGTAATTAGAGACGAATCAAAATATTTGCACATTTATCGGGAAAGTATTGTAGTTATAAACTCGATTTCAAATGTTGAGCTATTTTTGAGTTCATAACCTATTAATCGACAACGGTATTTTTTAAAATTTTTTTGTCCTCACAAATATTCAGAAAAAGCAAGTTCTGTGCATAGAAACAACAGCGATAAAAATGTGAATTTTCGTACTCAAAATGGATCTGTATAGGCATATGGAATATCCGTAATACATTTTTAGACGTTCAAATTCAACAATTCAGTAAAACCTAACCAGCTGCAGCCACCTTCATAACAGGTATGTATCAGTAATATCTTCGATTGAGAGATCACACTTCGACAACTACAAAGAAGTTCTTACTTTACATAGAAAAGGTCAGAAATACTTTTTAAACGCCAAAATATATATATGACATTTGCATTAAGCAATTAACTTGCAACAAAGTCATAAATTGTTTACACTCGAATGAATTGTGATTGCGAGTGGTGACAATTTAAAAGTTTTGTGCGCTCAAGCATATGCAAATATTTTTGTTTCTGTGAAAATTCATTTTTTAATGCCACAGCATGACATTATTCCCATAAAGGCATTTCTTGGTAGCGACATAACTTGTGCCACACAAGCATTTGTACATATAAAAAAATAAACAGAAGCAATCAATCAATTAGTGGGCTTTAACCAATATGCGATTGAAAGCGGAAAGCAATAAAAGTGTTGTTTATTTGCTAGTTGCTAACACTGACAAATATATAGACACATGCAAATATATGAAACAGCAGCTTAGTTTTACAGACGAGGCAGGCTTTGTGAAAGTAATTCGCGAAATTGCTAAATGCCGCACGCATGAACACATGCATACATACATGTACACACATATGGATAGCAGATCGGTGACCATTGCAATGCTTGCAAATCAGTGCGAATTTAGTCGTTGATTTGTCGCTTTCCACATTGTTGCATGAAGGAAGGTGTGCGTCCGCTCGCGAATTACGACATTTTATTGCATTAAAATACGCGAGATTTATGTAGTTGTAAGATTTATAAACCGGCGCTTTCGCGCGGAACTCGTAAATTTTCAGCGAATTTATTTGATAGGCAAAAGGTGAGGGGTAGTGCGCCATATTTGGTAAGGGAGCTGTACACCTTTCCACAATATTGCAAACATTTACAACTCGCATATGTAGAAGTAGCAAGGTTTGTGGCACGATTTACTCTCTATTTACGCAGTAGATCGTGGGGATTTAGTAGCGGCGATTTTCGCGTTAAGTGCTTCGCGGAAAATGGCATAAATCACGATTTGCTTGGCCTGCGACATGTTGGCATGTGGCAGGCTGTCATGTAACGGCGGTTGGGCGCAAACAATCTGCTGCAACAACCGCAAATTTAAAGCGACGAAGGAGACATACAGAGGCGAGTCAGAGTTTTGTGGAGCTCCGCCAGCGAAATGAGCGCCAAAAAATACGTTGATATGCCAAAAAACTTAGAGGGTGTACCAAGCAGTATTTGGTTGCCGCTCATCGGCGCTTGGTTGGGCAATCAAAAGCAGAGTAGTTATTTTTCTAAGCTTTGATTTTCCGAAGCTTTTAGTACACTTTTAGGCGCCAAGGCATATATACCACGCTGAATGTGCACTGCTTGTTGCTGCTCATTTGTTGCCACACTTTGCGTTTGCAATCGGTGGCATTTTCATTAGTTCACCGAAGGCTCTACTTCACGTACTTGCCATTGTAGGCTGAAGCCGTGGAATTTTGATGGCATTTTAATTAATTTCAGAAGTCGAGATTTCACACAAAATTACAATGTGTTTTATTTTGAAAAACTGTTTGAAAGTGATTCATAATTGGAAAATTGAAGACAGAGAATGGAGTTCGGAACGATGCAGAAATTTATTCAAATGACTATCGGCTTAGAGGATCTGTACAGATCCATATTTTTATCACACTAAGGAAGTCATTACTTTGGGAGTATTTTCTGACGTTTTAAACTTATGTTCGCTAGTTATATTATAATTTTCCGAAAGAAAAAGTAACAGAAGTCTTCTTTTTTTGGCTATTTTTATTGGCGAAGCGGTATTAACAATATATAGGTGAGCAGCTCATGGTAGATGATCCTGCCAATTATACCGCACACATAGCAAAACCTTAATAACTATCAATCCTAGCTGGGCCTCCGTTTGCGCTGACTTAACGCTATTCGACCTCAGTGGTTTTTGCTTGATGTTGTAGTGAGGCAACTCCATTTGTCCAATGACTCGGGGTCTATATATACATTTTAACCCGAAGACTGATAATCAATATTAATTTTTAATATTTATAAAAAATTTTGACTATGATATATATATTTATCAAAAATATCATTGATTTATTTCAATTGTGTCACTTTCTATATTACTACAATAGTTAGAGGTATGGTTATATTTTATAAATTTTTTTCATTTTGTTATCGGCTACTTGTTATAAGTAATTTGTTTGAATTAAAAATCGTTCTCAAGCATAACTTTGAATAACTTTGTCAATAAAAGTTGAGTGTCTTCTTGGCTTCAAACTACGGCATTTGCTGCTTGTCACTGGTCATATATATGACAAGCTTTCCAGAACAACTACAATACTCTTTAGATCTCTTTAAAGCAATGAATTGAACAGTAGTAAACATAAAATTTCGTTTTAACTAAGAAAAGGTGCTTCATGGATTTTTATAAAATATTTGGTCAGTGGATAACTGCAGCGACATGCAAATTTATATATTTATATTATAAAAATCCACTTAAACTTCTCCCGGCAAATGCAAAGTAGTTAAGTTAATGTATTTGCGAAAGCTAAAAATTTTGCTGAAATAAAATTACTTCACAAAAAAATTTCCAGAAAATAAAAGCAACTCGCCTCAGGCATAAAACAAAAGAATTTTTGTAACAATTGAATGTACAACACATTTGACAGACAGCAGCTTGACAGCGTAATGAAATGCTTGAATTTATTTTTAGCAAAAAAATACTTAAATTTTGTGAAAAGCGGCATTTTGCCACCAAAATGGTATAAAATCGGCGTGGCATAAAGGCAAACATCATTTATTGACAGACGAAATAAAATGTGCAGACATGAAAATAAAAAGAAAAAAAGTGAAAAGTGCACAATGAAAAAAAAAAAATTTCGGGAAAAACGAAAAAAATAAACCTGCAGCAAAATTCAGACATTACTACATGTGCCTGTCAACATTTTAATTAAAAAAGGATACGCGTCTCATATGAAGAACGGATGTTGGCAAATACGCGCGCAACCAAATAGTCAACACAACTGACCGCCACACGAGCCGGCAGACTGGGAAGCGCGACGGAGACGTCGACACACATTAAAATATTTGACAGAGGGCGCAACATTCGCGCTTTTGTCAACAACAACAAGAGCAAGAAGTGGAGTAGCAACAATAGTAATGACCAGTAGTGGCACTCGAGTAATTTTCCTATACTTGCGCGGGGGTATGAGTGCAGCGGCACAATGAAAGGGTGCGAAATAATGAACTCGTTGCGCCGTTACAAACGATTTCTTTTTCAATTTCAGTATTCTGACGGGAGCATGGATTGAGTACAGAGTGAAGTTGGCGAGGCAGCATATTGTGCGCTGGATCGGGTCATTACGTGTTGGCTGCTGACAATAGACAGTTCGTTGGCACAAAAATCAAAAAAAAAAAAAAACAGGCACAACAAAAAAGCATGTGTAATGAGAATCTCAACTGACCTGTGTAGTGGTGGTCAAGCCGTCAGCGTGCGGAAGCCACTAAAGGCTCCATTGCAACTGCTCATACTTGCAATCCATTTTTCGCTCGCATATTTCGCTCTCAACATCGAACTGCCTTAGCTATTGTTTGCATCATTTTAATTTTATTTATTGTTTGCCTGCCACTCAAAATACATAAAAACGTGCAATGAACAATGGCTTTTACGCGTTGCCTGTCAAGTCACCGTTATGCGCACCACTGTGGTCCAAACAATCAACCTGTTCGCTGGGCTCTAACTCACTGCAAGCACTTCCTCCCGCCCTGTTTTATTTGTTGTTGCTGAGCATTCAAATTAGATGAATTGCTTTTTGGTGAGCTCTAACTCAAACCTTGTGCGACCTCCGCTTTCATTTGTCGCTGACCGTTCGCTTTTGCGCCGCTGAGCAGCAGCTTTTGCTTGGCATTCTCGCTCTCTCGCGCTTCGGGCACAAGTCATTCGTGGACAGAAGTCATTGATGCTTACAGTTTTAGTAATTTCGTTTCGTTCTCTATTGCTTTCATCCTAAATTTAAGTTGCAGCTTCCACAGCACGTATGTATGTCGTTTAATCGTCCGAACTGCCCACGAACTCACGGTTGCATTTCATTTATAATGACTTATCGTCAGCTTGGTCGGCCAACTAACGGACCCACCGCCATTTATGCAGTTACTTCCACCTCTAATGCCACCGCATACTCGTATGCTTATTACATTTCGTCTCGCCCTCTCTCTCTCTCTCTTGACTGCTTGCTATCTCCTTCCCTTCTACCGAATTTTACATTGTTGCCCCCGCTTTTGTGTTATTTTCTAGTCATGTCAATGGTTTTGCGGACATTTATTGTTTGAAAGCTATTACCCCTGCCATGGCGCTGATACTCATCCTCAAGGCAACTATGCTCTACTCAGCTCATTTGGTTCGTCACTTGGGGACCCATTCGAAAAACGACACGGTGGTCGTTGGTCGTCGACACTCTGTTTTTGATTGTTTTGCAAAATGTTTTACGTACTCAGTCATTCATGCAAATCATCTTAACTGGTTTGGGTACTATATTTCTGGGGAGAGATTGCAGCTTTGCAATTGCAGCATGTTTGCTGGTTGAAGGCGAAGTAAAAAATTCAATGATTTTATGAAAAGAATAGCCTTGAGTGCTGGAAAATATGCATTTTAAGTGCCGCGCCGCAAATAATCATAAATTTTTACTTTTCATTTGAGTATCATTTCAAATTTGTGGATGTAAAAAGAGTGGGAGAAAGAGAGCGGAAGATCAAGCGCTGACCACTTCAATTTGTTTTAAATGTCATGTTGACAATATTTGTACATTCATGGGAAGATTAAATGAAGAACAAGAAGCTGAAGTAATACTAAATTAACATACATTAAGATTACTTAAGTGATCCGAGGCTTCAGCATTTAGTTTGATGTTAGAAGCGCACAGCCTGATTTTGTCTCTTTGTCATGTATGATCGAGAAAGATGACTTCAATCTATCAGTACTCTTAAACTTTCTTTTTAAATATTTTGGAAATCTAAAGACTGTTTTAACTGAAACCTTAACTCCAAAGCTTAAAGAAAAAAGAATAGTGGATCTAACGATCTTCACATAAGAGAAAGAAGAACTTATGGCTTGAAGGACAATCCACCTTACTCCGTCGATCTTTTATGCAGACGACGTAGGTTAGAAGAAGTCAACTATGCTGGTCAACAAACAGAGTTTGGGTGGTTGCGTGATCCTTTTTACGTAGCTCTGAATTATATGCTCTTAGCAATGTTCATCATATCGTAATCATCGGTTTCTGACTGGATACTGTCCAATCATGACGTGTGCTAATTGGCAAAGCTGAAGGCGACTTGGAATCATCTAAGAGATTTCTTTTCTACTGACCAGTTTTTACCAGACAGAAGTTGAAGCATCGCGGTGAAGCCACTGAATTCTCTGTAATTGATATTACCCGCCTTAAATAAATTGTGGTAAGCTAAAAACGCTTCAACAATCTAATATAAAGGTCTGATTATCCATATCTACGTGTCTTCTACATCACAGGATCAGGGTTTACAGCAGTCCAAGTGCTTCCTTACTTTCGGTGCGAGGATAAATCCCATGATGTAACCAAGAAAGAGATGTTGATATCTTTCATTTGAATAAGGTACAGAAGGGGAGACTAATGCTTAGCTCGACATAGTAAAGGTCAAATAGAGATATTTAAGAGAAAGTAAGTTTAATCTCTGAGCAATACGATTATATACTGCGGACCTTTTTAATCGTCTGTAGTTGCTTTCGTAAATGTTGGCAGTTATGGACTTTAATAGTTTTGATATTATTTTCTAAAAACGAATTTGCACTTACACCAATAAAATCGTCTACTCAAACATGATGTCTACTTACATCTGTTAGTAAGCAGGGTTGGGTTACAAAACAAATACAAATTAAGCTTTTAAGACCAATCTTATATAAGCATTCACATATGTGCCAGCAAGTGCATATGGAATGTTTGACAGGCAAATGTCAATAGCAATGATTTTTAAATCCTTACGTAAGGCGCCTTTGCAGGTTTCACCAAATCCACGCAATAAACTGTCAAATAAATAAAATTTTAAAGCTCAAACGCGCGTGCTAAACGCTCAATGTATGCAGCTGTGACAATTTTGGCATTTCAGCAGACAAACAAAGCATTTACGGAAGCGTCAAACTTTAAATTTGTCTCATACTTCCTTCCGCTCCAGCCCGCTAGTGGCGAGTGCATCCTGTCATTTAAAATGATTTCCTGACTGCTCGATTGAATAACCCAAAATTTGATTATGACTTGACAAATAATACAATAATTGTCTGTTTGTGTGTGTGTGTGCATGTTCGGGACAAAGGACCTGCCGGTGCTAAAGGACATGTCGAACACTATGCTTAAGTAATTGTAAATATTGAATTTTCAAGTTTAACCAAAAGCAGTATTTTTTTTTTGTTGCTGGCTAAAGAAACACCCTGAAGAAGTGAGCAGCCGAACGAACTTAAGGGTTAGAGAGCGCGCCGCAGTTAACCCTTTTGTATAGCATACCTTTTTAGCGCACGTACACACTAACTCGTCTCATTTGACATTTCATCTATCTAACGCTTTGTCTATCTGTCTCCCCGTCCACTTTACAACACTTTCGTGTGCATTTATCTGATTGTTTACACACGTCTATCGCCAGGATTATGCGTTTGTCAATTTTGCGACAATTTTCGAAAACAACCGCGACGCGCCCTTTTGCTGCAACGCACACTCATTCGCACTGTAATAGTTTAAAGTGAGGTTAGGTTTGAGTTTAAAATTAATAGAAATTTCCTGCTGCCGCCACTTGGCTGCGTTTTACAGATGGAAATTAACGATTAGTCCTGCAATACTTGCAACTCCTTGCCACAACCACAAACACATATCTAACTGTATATTCACACCATAGTTTCTATGCAAAATGCTTCGTATTATAGCATGTGTATGTCTCTGGACGTGTTTAACTTGAGCTTAGTGCATGTCTGACAATTTGATGCCATTATTGGTTGCCTGACAATTTCACTTAATCCCTCCCAAAGGAGTAATCGCCGCGTATGGGCTTTGTTGTGTCCGTACGTCGAATACGGTGCATAGCTTCACCGTTAAACATGCCTGGCCTTATGGCCGTAGCGTGGAATTATTGCTAGATAAGATTGAAAAGATATCCAGTTACGTAGCGTTATGAGTGGAACCATTCCAAGACCACTTAAGTGAATTTATGTTTGGAGGCTGAGCTGGTATTTTAAAGATTTTACTCTTTGATAAGTTATAGTATTTAAAAATGTTAGGTTGAAAGTACTAATGCGATTGATTTTGATTTTAAAAACCTTTCAAAAAGTCCAGCTTAAATTTCCTTCAAGAGTTTCGGTGCTGTTAGTCGCAGTGAACTGAACCCAAAAAAAAGTTATCAGTTATGTTTCCAAATTACAAAGCCGTTGCGAAAAACAAACCTTTTTTCAAATGGGGTCTCTGAGATTCGGAATCGAATCTGTCCAATAATTCAGCATAGCAAAGCTCCGTAACTGCTTTGTGTATGTAGATCAAACCTTTTGAACCCCAGAAAATTTTAGCTATCACCCCACAATACACAAACTTTTTCGAATTTTGTTATACAGCGTCAAACACTACTGTGCGGCAGTCCCATCACGGCGCTTGTTGTCCGTAGTGCGCAAGCATGGTATCAATCGCTCCAACAGCTCTCTGATTGCAGGATATGACCCCACCGCCTTTAAAAATTTCTCAGTTATCGATTTTTAATAAGTTATATATTCCCTTTAGTAACCGTTTTCGGAGAACCTAGGCGTGTCCCATTAAAGCCGACTTGTAATCACACTGAAACTTTTTAAACCAATTTTTTAAGCTCTCCATCTTAATTGAGGTAAGTGACTTTTACAAGATTCAGCACCCAAGTACCTCTTAACGATAGTGGCGTCCTCAGACGATGCCGCTAAGTACTTATGAGACCGCCCTGGTAGTTATTAATCATCAGAATCGTATTTGTTCATCAGACTTTTTGTGAGCTTTACACCGTTACCATTTCAAGCTGATAGCAAAAGTCTCTGTCTGTAATATGTTTCATTATTTATTAGTATCTTGTGAGTAACATGTATTGGATGATTAATCTTTCAACACTACAGGATTGGCTATTTCTAAGGAGCTCACTTCGATGGCTGAAATATACTACATGAACTTTCCGCCATCTCGGCAACAGTTTTGAAGAGCTCTGCCAAGAGCTTTCAGTCCTTTCGCCCGTAATATCTTTCCTTCGAACTTTTCTTAATACTGTTGCCCTCTTTGTTCTTTTTTCCGCCTTTTCTTGTGGGCAGATTTTATTTCTTGTTATTGTAGCAATATATTTTATTTAAAGTATTTAAGCAGCTAAGGTTATGATTACTAGATATACTTGGTAACAACTTTACGCTAGTTTTAAGTGGATCTGCCACTTTTGGATCCAATTCGGTTACTGGATTTCCTTGGTAACTAATATCTAGCCTTAAAATAGGTCTGAACTTGTTGATTTTTTAAATCTAAGTCGGATCGGGCATTCTACCTCTACTCCGCTCCCTTTCTTCTCTTGTTCTCTGCACATTGCAGCACACTCTTCCCGTCCATTCATTTGCGTACGTATAATTATTGTGTACGTTGTTGCAAGTACATTTTTTGACATGTTGCATCATAAATGTTTATGATTATGGCGGCTAAAGATTTACTAGATTCGCCACAGGCGCAGAGCAAGGGCGTCGCGTGTTGTGCAATTACTGACGTCACCCCAAAATCAAAGGCTACAGACATGCACCCATACTTACGTAGCATGTATGTATGTGAATATGTATGCACGTGAGCCCTGTTACATTAACGTCCATCCTGCAGACTTCGTAGTAAGTATTTAACTTCAATTTCAGCATTGAACTGTTCCGTGCCATTGTGTTTGGTTGAGTTTTACGCTTTATTGGGTTGTCGTTGGCGCATTGCAAGTGACATGTGGCATGTGGCAATAGCGATTTTTGCATATTACTTTACACATATGAACCGGCATATAAAGTTGTATGTGATAATAAAATCTTATGTTTATTTGAGGCTTACAGGCGTCACAATTTGACAAACAGTGATGCGTCTGTGGTGCATGCCTCTCTGTTTACGGCAATACACATACATAAATGCTCGTGCCACACATGCTTAGCGTCGTATGCGTTTAATTTTCTATTTAACGCGTTTGGAAATTTCAGTATTTCCGAAATTTAAACTAACTACTCCACCCACTTCTTCTTGCGTAATGTGCAACATGCAACCCCGCTGTTCATATATATGCCACAATATTCACTTTTTAATTTAAATATGACTTCCTTTATGTTCTGCCATTTACAGCTTTGGCAGCAACAGCAGGTTCTATTATTTTTAATGCGCGCGTTGCCACTGAATTTCATATTAATCTCCTTTTTGGTTTTGATGATTTGGTTGTAAATATTTAATACCGACACATTGGAATTTTATATATGCCACATGCGTTTTAAATGGTGGCACATATGCGTCAAAATTATTTTTTAATGTTTGCTTGTGAAATTTCAATAAAGCGCAGCTTAGTGCGCTAGAGTTATAAGGTTTTTGCTACGAAGATCCTAAGTTACAGTTTGATGACTGGAAACCATTTAAGTCTAATGATATTTCTTCAGATGTTTGTAGTTCACTTAAAAGCTTTGTTTCTTTCAAGTCATTGCCACCACCTTTCTTCGAAAAAAAAACCGTTTCAGTCGAGGCAAAAATCACGTATATACGTTACTACACCGACCACTCTCCGTATATCAGAGAAATTCAAGTGAATATTTTATACGGATGCAGTTTACATTAAATACTAAGAGGATCTAAATCAAATAGAGCTCTCTCCAAGTATTCAGCTTGGGAAAACATCAAAGCTCTTGAGATCATTGGGATATTCGGATCGTCTGATCAGATCTAATGAACTTGGTGGTTCGAACAGGCTTGTTCGAGATTATATTTTATTTACTTACTTCATGGAATATGGCAATATATGCAAAGGATTCTTCACCAAAGAGCCTGACCCTCTCCGAAAAAGATCAAGTGTCGCTAAACTGCTTGAGTTTGTGTTAGTTTGGATCCATTCTGTTCATATTTTGGTATTTCAGTGACGTACAGTGGCAAATGTTTCGCTACTTTTGGGTTCTCTATTTCAATGGGTGAGTCCTCTAAGTCCTAAATGAGTTCTACAAGATGGTTCTACAATCTATACAGCGAATTATATCAAGAAAAGAGCTTGTCATCTAGGCTCTGGGATTTAGATCTGTTAATAGTGGACGGAGAGAGTGGTCTTCATAATATGTCGTCTTACACTTAATACCATACAATTTCTATATTTCGTAAACTCCCTTTAGGTTGTAGATACTTTTATCAATTCACATATGAATTCGTACGGCGATTTCTTCATTATAATTTATTACAACTTTTGCGCCAAGTAAATGCATGAATTGAAGTTGTTAGCTAACATTCGAAATCATAAATCATCTCAGAGAGATGTTACCAAATTAGTAAAGCTAACAAGCAGCTGTAAGCGGTGTAAACAAATTTTGATTAGGTTGAAGTCAGACCGAAATATTTTTGAAAGCATGTCGTTATGAATTTGTAAATATGTTTATGTATATATATGTGATGACATTTCTTAAAGTGTAAGTTTTCAGAATATCAGAAAATGTTAAAGTGAAGCTTACATCACAGTTGATGTCTTGTATGTGCCTCTGGATTCCCGAGAAAGTTGTGTTATATTTTGAGCAGGTAACTGACTTTGTGAACGAATCTTCGGTTGAAGGACAATATCGAGATTTAAACCGCAAGTGAGATGAAAATGACTCGACCTAAGTTTTATCGAAACTTTATGAGCTTCACAGACCCAACTTCACGTTTTTGCTTGATTCTCTCCTCCTTATTCCAATTGTTATATCTCGCTAGTCAGCCTTGGCACAAACTGTATTGTCGAATTTTATACAAAGGAACGCTGGAGCAACCACAATACATCAAACATTGCCTCTACTTGTTAGTTAAGACCACTTTCTACTTGACTTTTCCCATTTTTTTGTGCCCACACAATAGTTGTTGATGACAACAGAAAATTTGTGTGCAACAAACTGTGATTAATAGCATCGCAACAAGCTGACAAATTTTCATGCATTTTTTATTAAATCGAATACACCAACTAAACCAAAGCACTACAGTGTACTAGTTAAATATATAAATATATATATATGAATGTTTATGTATGTATGTATGTATGTATAGTAGTAATGCATAAGCGCAGTTCCACAAATCATATACATATGTATATCCATGAAACACATATGTTTTTTCATACTAGAAACTCTAACTCTATGTCTGCGTGTATGAAAGTATATATGTCTTTGTGTATTTCCGTTTCCGCATAACAAAAAACCTTTAAAATATGAAATTCCGGAAAACTTTTAGTCCACATTCGACGACTGTGACTTAACTTGTTGATTTATGACCTGGCATGTCGTGTGGCATGTTGCTGCTTGCCACATACGCCGCTCTTTGGTTATACGTATAATATAGTAAACTTCTACCACTATTACTGTTGACTGCTCCATGTATTCCACTAGCTTTTGTCAATGTTGCTCGTGTGCTGTTATTGTCAAGACTGCTGTATGCTTTTTTGTATATAATATTTCTGAATACACTTAACGCTGAATTCGTTCACATACACATTCTCAAACACATGAATTTAGCTGGGATTATGCAATCAGTGCGAGCGGCTCTTGTTAGTGTACCGTTATCCCGTGTCCTGTAATACTTCTATGTATCCTATAACTTGCAGGAAGCAAGTATTGCTAAGCAGTTGTATCTGCTAGTTTTTAGCACTTACATATATGTACATATGTTTTCGTTTCTCTTGCATTTGGTTCATACAAATCGGTTAAACTTTTAGTTAACCGGAAATATGTTGAACACGTGCAACAATATGTTGTTGTTGAGAATTTAAAAAAAAATTTTTTAGTAAAAAAAACATAGAAATTTCAAAATTTGCATAAAATGGGAAATATTATGTTAAATACAAAACTCTTAACACCGACTGTACTTGCATGATAGGTTGGATGCTATATTTCTTTTACCCTGTTGAAAATAAGCTCTAATTATTTGCAAACTGCTTTCGACTCCGAACCAAATTTCAAAATATGAGAGTTATCCTAAAATAATAAATGGGATTTGAAAAACTTAAAAGCTTAAATTCGAGTTAGTGGCAAATATTTGAGAAAAGCTTTTAATTCTAACAATAAATAGCAATAACTACGACAACGAAATTGTTGCTTCGACTATTTTCGTCAACTCTTAACTTGCGTACTGGTTGGGAGTTATTAAAAGCGCATATAACGTACTATTACTATTGAATCTAAAAATAATGAAAACAAACTTGAAGAGCCAAAAACTATTTGCAATTCACACTATAACTGGCTACTGAACAATGAATAAATTCAGGATTTTGGACAATATATGCAGCGATCGACATTTAACACTTCGTGCGTCTTAACAGGCCTTAACTCAACAGTAGCTTCCGCGACCCTCACTAACTCTCATAACAAAACACATATTAACATATGCTTCCATATCAATACACCACTACATAATATCCCGCAATATAAAATTTCCCAGCACGAGTTAAAATGGGTTTTGCAAATAAGCCGAGTTTAAAAAAAAAAAACATATTAAATTAATGGATTTTAAATTTATTTATTTATTATGACACTTACATGGATGTGCACTACGAAAAAAATTCGCACACTTAGCGTGTTCTTACGCATATTTTTCGCATGCAACGCGTGTGTGGCGCGTGTAACTGTAGCGGAAAGCAGCAAAAAGCTACAACAAAATGCAAATTAAACGCCGGAGAGGGTAGAACAGCTGCTCGGCTGCCAACGCTTTGTCATATAATTAAAATAAATATGCAATATTTTAATTTATGTGTAAACTCATTTTAGAATATTTTTAACACACGCATACATACATACAACTATGAGTTATGGCCTGCCACTTGAGGAGGCGCACAATATTGCTTTCGAATGAGCTGTCAAATGAGGCTTAAAGTGCTTGTGAGACACGCTTGCTCAATATACATACATGCAGACAGATATATTCTGGGCATTTAGCAGATATTTTTTTATTTCACACACACACACACACCTATAAACGGCGCCTCCTCTCACCTTTCTCACAACACCATTTACCATAGCCGTCTCAAATTTCACTTTCACTTTGCCACGTTTTCACCCAAAAATTGTACACATATGTTGTAAATTCGTTAACAACAACATAAATATGCCTATCACATAACAAACTGTGGCAAGAAGGCAAGCAAAAAATCACCCCTCTGCCATTGTGGACCCGCACATATATGGTACTGTTTGCCTGTTGCAATAAATTATTTTTGTTTGCCATATCAATTAAATTGCATTATCATTTACCACGAAATTACCCAAAAAAACTGGCGTTAGAGTCGGTCTTTTGTTACCCTGTAGGCAGTCAGTGCATAAATTAGCGCTTAAATTACGCCCATTTGTGCAACGAATTTGTAAGAATTTTTGTTTACATTTCTACAGAGAAAAAAGTTAAAAACTTTTTTTATAATTGAGCAGGGCGAAATTCATGTATTTTTATTCTGCATTTCGCTATTACTAATCTTCGCCTATAACTTTCGTTATCCAATCCATTGAATCGGCAACACTCTCAATATAATAAGACGATACAACCCCATCAGCAGCGCCGCATTTATCCATACCGAAAGGCACAACGCCGATTTGTGTAAAAAATTCAGTGTTATCGTTAACCAGCCATATAATTGGACCACCATGGTCTCCGCTACAAGTACTGGGCTCCTCATAACGTGTGGTTAAGCAAAGCTTAGATTGTTCCACACGCTGTTCGGGATAGGCTTGATGGCACACTTGTGACTTACTGCGAATAATTGCGTGCTTTTTCATTACTTCCGTGGCACCTGAAGTGAAGAATTAAAAATGAAATAAAAGCTAAGCTTTAAAGAAAGTATTTTGCAAATACAGGTCAACTGCGACTTACCTTCTTTTTTCAAACCCCAACCGGATATTGTTAGAGGCTCATTGTCATAGGGCACATTGAAATGTTCAACTCTTGTAGGCAAACAAATGGTTTTGATATTTTCTGAAATATTTTAATATTTTTTGATTTAAATTAATTATTGCAAATTCAAAATAAATTTGATCGCCAATTTTTTAAATATTTTGAGTTTCCTCCAAATATTTGTTTGCAATCTCTATAAATTCCACTTACTACTTATATCAACTTTAGTTTTTAATTTTATTAGTGCAATATCCTTGATACCCGTTTCCGGTTTATAATCCGCATGTTTCACGCTAATGGCAATTTTATAGTCCTTATAAATGGAACATGCCTTTCGTACGCAATCTTTTTGCGATTTATCTGTTATCTTATATTCACCTAGGCGTACGCCGATTCTAAAATTCATATAGTTTAGGGGAAAATATAGATATATTGTCATAATGTTTGAGCGAAAGAGAAAGTGAAAATAAGATACACTTTAAACATATGAAATAATTTGATAATGGTCTATATCAAATCATTTCATATTAAATCAAAATGGAATTTTAGAAACAAAAAAATGAAATTGGTATGGAATTCAGTAATTTATAGAATGTTAGAAGCATGATGATATGTAATGAAATTCATGAAATCGATAGTGAAATTTAAAATGGTGAAAATCAAAGTTAAATTGAGATTACAGAGGAATTTACCTGGAATTATTATTGATATAGGAATGTGGATATTTACTAGTATATATACATACATAGGTATCTTTGTACTGGGAGAAAATTAGATGTAGTTAAATGAAATATTTTTTATAATATAACGAAAAACGAATAGAGTATCATAAAACGAAGCATGAAATATGAGTGAAATTAGAAGCGATTAACTTATACTTAAATACATGAAATGATAGAAAGCGTGTAGACAATAACAATTATACCTAAATTAAATGGAATTTGGAGACAAATAATTAAACGAAAATGAAAAATGAAAATCGAATATAGTGAAAGTCATGAAATCGACAGTGAAATTGAAATAAATTAATAAAAGTTTAACTAATTCATGTAAAGTATAGTAAATTAGATAAAATGAAAAGCGAAAAATTTGAAAGTTAAACAGAATTGAGAAAAGTTAAAAGGTCCAATTGATTTAACTAATATAAAATGATATGCATTGATCTACGATTACGGAAACTTTGCACGTTTCATACCAAACGAGTTAGTGTGAAATCGACGATTTAAAAAGAATGAAATAAACTTCAGTAATGAAAATATAAACCAATATTTGTTTGTACTAAACTCACAATGTCTCGCGAATGCAACTTGCTGCCGTCAACACCCAACGTTCGGTGATCAGCGAGCCACCGCACGTAAAATTTGGACGTCTACTATCGCTGTTATAACGCAACAGAGCCAACCAGGGGAATTCAAGTAAATTCGCTTCAGTATTGCTCTTAGAAGGATTACTTTCAATATGTACAAAACCACATTTCTGTAAACTTAATTTACGCAAGCCCAATTGGTTTAAATTGCTCATAAAACTAGAAGTATTCGTTGTAACTTCTTCGATTATTACACTCACTGTTGAAGTTTCAACGTCAATATGTGGTGTAACCACATTCTGCTGGTGGTATGGGTTGTATTTATTACCGAAAGCCCAACCTAAACGCTTGTAGAATTCCTCAGTTAAATTTGGTATTGCTTCTGTGGTCGTGGTTATTGGTTTTGGCGTGGTTCGAGTAGGTCTTTCGGTATTGACGACAATTGGAGGTTGACCTACTGTGTTGAATAGAATGCCTGGAATATTCAATGGATCATTTATAGGTATATGGATTTACTGGATTCACTGTAATTCTTGGTACAGAAATTGGTGGATATATTTGTTGATCATTACCCCGTGGTGCATTTATGTAAGTTTTTTTTTTACCCTCTACAATTTCTCGAGCGACTGGTGTAAATATTGTATTGCTGAATGGAGGTGATTGTGTATTTTCCGCAGCTTTGTTCCCATTTATACGAATTGGGTTGGGCTCTAGCTTGTTGATTTTTATATTATTGTTATGTGGCGGCATTATAACATAATTAGGACAACAAAAAGTATTTGCCTTAAATAAATGTAATTGAGTTTTTTTGTTAGTCATATGTTGTACAAAATCAATCTAAAATAATCTACCTCACAAGCGTCATTTGGAAAAATTACTTTGTGGTGTAATTCTTCGCAATCAGCAAAAGGTCTACAAATACCGCTCGTGCCAACGGAATATACACATGGGTTTTGTGCAACTGGAAAATTTGAAAATAAAAGAGCTCACATATAAATCACATAGGTTTTTAAAACAAACTCACCTGCAGTAGCGAGTAGTTGGTATAAGAGCATGCTTAAGAGCATGCCACATCGAAGGATAGCCATCATAACAATATTTCGATTATTTAATATCACTCAATTAATGTATGCAAATAATATATGTGAAATGTAGGTACACTAAAAAGCGATGATAAATGAAATACAATAAAAGTTTTGCTGTGACCACAACTTAATCGAGCAGCCACTGAGAGAACACTGAAAGCTTCAAATCGAATTCGCAGCTTAAGAAAACAATGAACTAGACGCTGATAAGTACATGCGGACTTCCAAGTAAACATAAGTATTTTTATATGTAACGATATGCCTGACTGCTGATATGTATTTAAATATATTAATTTAGTATATAGTTAGTCGTATATAGTTACATATATTGTCTTATCAATTTGTTGCTACTTGGAATTTCCTAAAAAAATATTTTGCAAACATATCAGGGTGGAAAGATAAGTGTATAATATGAACATAAGGAGTATTGATGAGGTCTAGAAAGATTTTTGAGAATTAAATATTTTTAAGCTGAATTAATAATATTACTAAACATTTTCAATAAATATTTATTTAATTTTATAATTTTTAGAAAAGAGAGAGAGAGAGACAGAGGGAGGTGATTTCATAAGAGACAGAGAGAGCGATAATTTCATAAAAGACAAAAGAAATAAATATTTATTCATAGTAACAAGATAGATACATAATTTTTTTTAAGAAAGAGAGAACAAAGAGTTTGAAAAATATAATTGATTAACAAAACATTTTAAATGCACGTAATTTCATCACAGTTTCATCATTATTGTTGACAGTTAACGCTCAGTTCGATTTTGCTTTTCCATCTGTATTTATGCCAAATTATATTTTCAAACTTACCAATATCAACAATTTTGTACAGCCCTAACTACCAATGACTCATATTATATAGTTGAGTCAGTACCTCACTGAAAATAGAACTCGGAATAAAATTGAGACTTCGGTAAACAACAATAACTTAGGCGTGATAAGGCCTATCGCCAACACGTTTCTCTCTCTGGTTGAAGTTTTGCATATCAGCTCAATATATAAAATTTAGCATCTTCGGTTAAGTTTACGTCAGATATATCTAATTTCAAGATGATTTTAATATAATTTTCATTGACGCGATTAAAATATATTTATAAAACTAAGTGAGTACTAGACCTTCATAATTAAGTTAATAAGATACCAAATTTGATTGTAATTCATTTACGATTTCGTCGAATAATGAATGTTGAAATCTTGCAAGAGTATAAAAGGTTCGGTTACACCCGAACTTAGCTTTTCCTTACTTGTTAGTAAACAAAAACCAGAACGACAATATATTTTTTTGCATATTTTCCATAAACCATTTCCTATATTATGACAATATAAATTAAAAACCTATAATTTAACTGTAAATGCTCTTTTATTGTTAATTTTCGATTTCATATAAACATTTTTTTGTAAATTTTACTTTTCAAACTTTTAATACAGATTCAATTTGCATTCTTGAAAATGCTTTTTTTTACTGTTTGCTATTTCACTTTAAACATTTGTCACAATTTCACGCACTCGAGCGTGCCGCTAAATTGAAACAATATCACCGATTAATACTTTACGCTCCACTACACCGCCGCTTGGGCAACCCTTAGGCAAGTGAATCGGAACCTGACCATCAATGCAATGCAATATGCGGCATTTAGAATGAAGTTATGTGTGTTTGCTTGAAGCGAATGAAATTCAATCAAATATTCGCGCAAAAGCGGATTACAAAGTGAAAGAGTGAAAATCACTTTAACTGAATTGTAAATCATGAATTTATGAAACTCTGCGTAGAGAGTGGATAAATATAATTGTTTATGAGTGTGTGTTTGTGTTTATTTTATTGTAGTTGTTTTGATGCATTTGCAAATTACTTGCTGACAAATTTTTGGTAAAAACCCAACTGTTTCTCATTTAATCAACGATTTTTTAACGAATTATTTCCGCATGAATGAGTTTTAATTTTTAATAGCATTTTAGCGTTATAGTAAAATGTAGATTTGTTTACACAAAGCAAAGTGATTGTATTGCGCATTACGCAATATAAATAAGTTTTTAAGTTTTTTATTGTGAAATAATGCAAGTTGGGAATTTTTTTAAAATGTAGATGAATTTAAAACTTCAACTCAAATGAGATGAATTGCAAGATCAAAACTGACCGCACCATTTTAATACGAATGCTCATGATCGCCTTAAAAATAGATTCAAGTATTTTGGCACGAGTCTAGCATTGACACGCTTCATCATAATGTCATGACATTAATATCCTTTGCTGTCTCTCTGATGCCAGCACGATGATTTTCAAATGATTTATCTTTAACTTTTTCGATGTCAGAATTTCAGAATCGAAGTGCACTTGGCTACTGTAACCTTCTTTGGGGACAGCGAGAGAGAAATGCTTAAAATCACTATTGTGAAAAAGAACGATTTTGCAATTTAATATCACGAACATATGTATTTTTCATGCTAACAAATATATACATATTTAGTAAAAATAGCTTCGCTAACATAAATATATAATATAAATCGCAGTCGCAACTGACGCAAGCTCTCTTACTGCACAGTTTTTCGCTTCAGGGTGGCGTTGGGTTGTAAACGGAATGATGCTGATGCGATTAGCGCAGATTTGCTACCAAATACAATATACCAACATGTGTGCATATGCTCAAATAAACACCGAGATATATACAAATATTTGTACGTTCATATGTAAATATATAAATGCTGCTAATGTGACATAATTGAAAACCGAAACTGAGGCATTTAACTCCTATTATGTATGCCGTAAACAAATATGAGCACTTGTCTCGAGCAACGACAGTCAAAAAATTGTGGCATATGTGACAGAAATGAGCAGCAAATGCCCAATGAGCAGCAGACAATGGAAAAAATTGAAAAAGTGAAAAGCAAACAGTAGCGGCGCTAATTGAATGTGATTGCAGTGACTGCCACTCCTTCCGCTTTGCTTTTGATAAGGGTGATTCGAAAATTAGAGCGAAAACTATCGCAAGCGCATGGATGACAGTTAAAGTGTCACAATGCCATTGCAAAGTGCAGGCGAAGAACCAAAATGACAGTGACATTTGATTTGTGCGCTCACGACTCGCTCATTTCATTCCGTTTAACGCTTAACTACTCACTTGATGCATTGATGAACTACTCAGCTGTGCTGTAATTGGAGTGCAGAAGCGTTGACAAGTGCAATCGCCTGTAAATGAGTTCATATGTATAAGTTTATAGTGTATTTGTATGTTATTTTGTCATTTCCACTTTTGTGATGCGGTGTTTACCCGCTTTTTTCTGGTCTTTAAGTAGTTAGTTATACGTTTGGTAAACCATAATTAAATATCTCTTTCAGCGAGATATCAATTTGAGCGGAAAATGTCAGTGTCATTACTTGTCAACGTGGTGGGAGGGTCAGTGATGGTCACATTGAAATGTCAAGTGCTCATCTTGCTATTTTAACCTAAAATTTGAAACTAGTGCTTTTAATGCCAACTGGTGTATTTTGAATTATTAACAATTTTACATGGGTGTAACTATGATATATTATTTATAAGACCAGTAAGGGGCTACTAGAAGTTTGGAGCTCACTTTCTGTACGTGATTATAGAAGAATTTGAAAATATTTATAGGACGGATTTCGTTCTGTAAATCTTCGAAATGCCGACAGCAAATTCAACAGTATTTTCCAGAGTATACTGAAATGACAGAATTTAATTTAAGTTTCAGAATAAAGAACAGAAATTCGTAAGCAACATCAACCGGAAATAAAAATTGTAATTACAAACTTCATATTTTAATTGCTTAGTTGCTTTATGGCTTATTCATGAAAATATAATAAAATACCATAAGAAAAGTAGCTTATATGATTTCCAAAATCTACATAAATTGTTGCTGTAATTACTTTAAAATAAATGCATATCAAACTGGAGAACTCACAATACTTATAGCCCTGCCAATTACACTGCAATCTCACAACTAGTTAACCAGCCAGCCAATTTGCTGACCACAAATTATCCACCAAATCACAGTGCTCGCCAGATTTCACTAGCGGAATTGTGGCGGCAAAGTGGGTCCTTAGCGGCAGTAAAGCATATAATAGCACTAAATACGCTGAATATGTGCTTCTGTTGCTGGTGGTGAGTAGTTTGTTGGCAGTTTGTGTTAAGGACATGGCTGTCTGGCTGCAAAGCCTTGCGCTTGTGCGCTTTTACTTCGACTGTCACATAAATTTATTAAAAATTTGTGTTATTCTTATGCAACTACTGCGGTTGTTGTTATTTTTGTTCTTATATCGCCACCAACATTTTTGGCGCGTTGCTGCAATTGCACAAATTACAAATTGGCCACGCGGTTTACGACTATTGCCAACATAACTACAATGGCTTTGTTGTTATTGCTGTTACAATAACACCGTATTATTAGTCAGCATTTCAAGATATTTGTTGCTATTGTTTCTATATTTATTGCATGCATTTAAGCCATATTTTGTGTCACACTAAAAATTCGTAGTTCCATATATTGCAACACATCCTGGCGCAAACTCTTCGCCGTGAAGCGAATGACCAAAGTCTCCTACGATTTGTCGCCACTTTGACTTAGCTTGACTTAGCGCTCTAACCAGCGCCGCCATTTTGCTGTCGTAAATCGTATACACTGGTGTATTGTAATTTTGTTGCATGCAACATCGCACATGCAATAAAGTATTTGTTGTGGCGATAAGCGTGCGCGGCGCCCCACCGCACATCGTTTGCTTCTACACTTACTATTTTGTTAGTGAATGTGAATTTATGGTGGCCAAAGTCTCTAAATATGCGGCAAGGATATGCCACTCTCCATGTACAGTTACACAGTGCAATTCCGTTATCCTTATGGCATGCTAGTTTCACACACACATACACAGCCCAGTGCATTGTAGTGCAATGCCAGTCACGCAAGCAACTATTTCAGCGATTTTACCACTTTGCCGCGCTAATTTGCCATTGTCCTTTGCCGAAAATTTGTTTAGAAATTAAAATTCTTGTTGTCTCCGCATTTATATTTAGTATTGCGTTGTAGACAATATTTACTAATAAATACTTCCATGCACTCATTTATTTATGTGTCAGTAAGCTGTGTAAGATTTAAGCCAAAAGGACACCCAGCCAAGAGAAAGGATATATGAGCTGCTGTTGTAGATAATATCAACGAGACAAATAAAGCAGCCAAGTTCTAAGAAGTAGTAGTTGATTTAAAATACAATTTCAGAAAATTCAGAAATACACACAGACTTACTTCGGCGAAGTCGGTATAAGTCGTCTTTGTTGACTCAAACCAAAGCAAGAATGTCTTTTAACATAAAGATATTGCCACCATTA